GTATTTTCAGGCTTCTCTTTCTCCTTGGCCACCACCATCCCCATCTATTCTGTTTTTTGAGATCCTTTCAGTCCGTGTTTCCCTGCTGGCCCCTCAGCACAGCTCTCACTCCTTTACTTGCTGGGGATTCCCACTTGCTGGCTGTGCTGCAGACTCTTTGCAGCCAGAATATGGTCAGGATATTTGTATATTTTTGGCAGCAGATGGGCCTAGAATGCCAAATTCTGTGGTTTTCTTCCTTTTCCTCTCCCTGCATTTGATTGGAGTACATTTTAATCACTCTAAGTGGAAAATCTCCCCCATATAGCGTTTTTCCCACCTTTTCTTAACAGCTTTCAGACATTTCCCTGTATCTTTTCCCAGAAGGAACCCCATAAGGTTTCATTGCAATGGCAAAATGTAATGTAGGGCGAATATCTTCTAATGGAGTGCTTTTCTCTCGAGGATGCTCGCAGGTAGCAGGCTGTACAAGGCGCCCATCTGGCAGGTTCTGCATGCATCGGTGCGCAGGGCACATGGGGATGCTTCCCCTGGGTCCCCACCTTCCCAGACTGGAGGAGTGCATCTCAGCATCTGTGCCCAGAGCTCTAAAAGCTTCCTTTTGGCTCCATCAGGAAAGTGGTTTTAGTCCTCAGAGCAGCCTCACCCATTACCCACAAGAAATGGTTCCGCTTCTCAGAGCTTTGCTAAAGAAGAAACAGAGTGCAGCACAGGTGGTGGGGGTGGGCTGATGGTTGCACTTGGTGACCTTAGGGGGCTTCTCCAACTGCAATGATTGTGATTCTGAGGCCTGCAGGAGGTCTCTCCCATCACCTTCTGTTCTGTCACACATTTGCAGGACAGCAACTGCTGTGGGCTGGGAGAGATCCTGAGCACAGAAGCCCAGGTGCTTTGCAACACCTGCCTGATGAGCACCTGCACACTTCAGCCATGGGAGGAAGGTATCAGTCATAGATAGAATCGCCTGGGTTGCAAAGGAGCACAACCTCATCCAGTTCCAACTCCCTGCTGTTGCAGGGTTGCCAACCAGCAGACCAGGCTGCCCAGAGCCACATCCAGCCTGGCCTTGAATGCCTGCAGGGATGTGAGGGTACTTTATTCATAAATTCAAACTAGAGCAGTTTACATACCAGGTAGCATGTAATTGCTCTTTAATGCTTTTACATCCCAGCGCTTTTGCAGAGGATGAAGAATTATTAGGATCTCTCTCGAATGGACTCTTTTGATGAAGGAAATATTAGCTGGCAGCGCTCGGCGTTAATTCTGGCTGATGTTGATGGCTCGATGCAAAGCTCTGCTTCAGCTGGCAAAGGAGATGTTGCTTTGGGCTTTGAAACACAAAGACGTGAAAATGAAGTGACACGTACATTTTGAAAACAGCTGGAGAATAGCTGGGGGAAATAAAATGAGGCTTTGTAAGGGGAAGCTCCCCAGGCCCGGAAACGCTTAACCCCACACACTTGTATCTGGTGTCTGCAAATGCTCCCAGCGTTCCCCTGCTATCAGGCAGGTGAGCTTGCTAGCCCAGGGTTACATGCACTGGGGATTGTGCCTTATTACTGCTTCAGCAAAAAGTGTGACTCTAAAGGCATGCTGCAGGCAGCAGTGCAGCACTTGGAAGACCCCAAAGCATGGGGAGTTCAACCTAGGTGCTGATTCTTGGCCCGTGGAATGTTCTTATCCTGCACATCCCTGCAGGTGTCCAGGCAGTGCAAAAACACGTTGCAGAAGGGTTTAGATCCTTGTTTGTCCCACCACAATGGGGATGGGGCACCCATCAGTGCTGCTGCCACCCATTGGAGGAAGCGACGCTCCGAACAACTGTATTTCTGATAAGGGACTTAAAAATCAAGGTTCTGATTTGTGGTGCCCAGGTGTGCATAGCTTCCCAAAGAAGGGAATAATGGTGATCTCTTGGGCTGTAGCCTCAAGGAAGGCAGTTTGCACAGAGGTTGAGGAGCACCTCCCATCTTTCAGAGGTGACAGCAGCCCTTCAGCCTGCTGTAGTTTGATTTAAAGGACTGCTGATGCTGAGCTCCTCCAGCACTGTCTGACCAGCAGTGCAGGCTGCCCTGGGGTGCTGGGGTCCCCGTCCATTGAGGTGCTCCAGAACTGTGGAGATGTGGCTCTGAGGGACGTGGTGAGGTGGGGTTGGGCTTGGTGCTCTCAGAGTGCAACCTGAATGATGCTATGAAATGTTCCAGCTCTCTTTGTTCCCCTGTGGGATGCCTCCCCAGTGCAGGACATGGTGTTTGGATCTCCTTAAGGCCTCTAGATGCCCATTGGAGATGGGTGACAAACCGGTACAGTAGCTGTGGTGTGGGAGGTCCCTATGGGGCACGTTCAAAAAGCAGCTGCTCTCTAACCAGGTGGTGACAGTTAGCTAGGAATGATGGAAGCGGGGCTGTGGGAGCACCCAGCAATGGGCAATGTGGGGCAGGATGGGATGAGAGGAACACCAAACTGAGCTTTGTGAGCAAATTTGTTTTTTTATCACAATGTTATTACTGAAAGAATATGTTGATTTCAGAAGCTCTAGGGAGCAGTGTAATGATTGCTAATTACACAGCTCCAGTGTGAGCTGGGAGGGCAAAACTTTAAGCAAACAAAAGTGACAGTGGGGTTTAATTAGCAGGAACTGTGTTGTGGTCAGTTGCTGCTGCCCATACACAGCAATGGGGACCTGGGGCAGCACAAGGTGGATCTCTGCCTCTTTTGGGCTGTGCCAGTGCTGCCATTTCAGCACTTCTCAAGGTGAGGGGATGAAATATGCATGCGGCTCCCTTCAGGGCAAGCTGGCTGTGCTATCAATTTGTGCCAGGTCAACTTAGCAAAGCCCTTGGATTAAAGAAAATTGAGATAAGATGTGGGTTTGCTCCAGTGGGCAGCCTCTGAGCGATGGTGTGAGGCCTTGGCTGCATTTGGCTTCTGTTTCCCACAAGGGCTGTAACTGCTGGGGATGGATGTGGGCACCCAGGTGGGTGTGAGCAGCCCACAGTACCCCTGGCAGGCCCAGGACATGCACATCAGCCACCAGCACAGCACTTCCCAGCACACACACTGGTTTACTTGCCTTTCTTTGGCTTTTTCTTCTGCTTTGCCCAGTTTTGCACAAGCTCTTCATTATTCTGGAAGTTAATAACAGCTTCAAATGCAAATCCAGCAGCACGAGGGTGGCACTGCGTTGCAAGAAGCAGCAGCTTCTGCACCTGCCTTGGCTGAGTGCAGGTGGGATTGAAGGGAGGGCTGGAACCGTTCCACCAGCCATTGCAGATCATTGGTGCTGCTCAGTCAGAGCACGAATCCCCCACCGGGGGGCACAGCCCATATGTAGAGCTCAGCAAGGTTTTGTCACTAAGGGTTACACAGCAAAGTGTTGCGTGATTCATAGCATTTGTGGTTTGAACTTCTGGTGTGTTGTGAGCTGTTAATTACCTCCCCCACTGACTGTTCCCAGCCAAATGGATGGAAGGTCAGCAGTGGGAGAGGCAGGTTTCCCAAAATGCATGCACTGCCCTTGTTTCTCCTGCATCCCTCTTTCATCACTCAGTGGAAGTGAGGAAGCAGCTCTTGGCCACCAGGTTGAGAATTTCCTCTGGTCATAGAACACTGGCCTTGATGTGGCACTCAGGGATGCGGGCAGCAGGTGTGGTGGGGTAGGTTGGATTGAAGATGATAAGGATCTCTTCCAACTTGAATGATTCTGAAATCCCACCAAAATCTGAGAAATATTTGTTCAAGTTTTAAATTACCAGATCAAATGCTGCTGAAGGCTGCTTCCAACCAATGGTTTCCAACCATGATGACTGGAAAAGACCTCTCCATGCCTGCTGCCCACAGCTCTGAACAACCCCAGGGATGGTGACCCCAGCTTTCCCTGGGCAGCTGTGCCACTGCATCACTGCTCTTTTGGAGAAGAAATGTTTCCTGATACCCATCCTGACCCTTCCCTGGTCAAGGTGAAGCCATCATCCTGCTGCTGTTACCTGGGATGCTCAGACTTCCCAGAACAAGTTAACTTTTGTGACGTGTTTCTTCCCCCTCTCGAGTTCTGAAATGAGCTGAATTAGAAACCTCCATCCCAGCTCACATGAATGAATTATTAACTTCAGAACCAACTTCAGGTCAGCGGGCTGAATAGTTCAGGTTCCCACTGCATTTATTTATGAAACCAGGTGCGGTTCGTATGTGAAATCTGTACAGAGAGGAACGTGTTTGGAACAGGGTGGGTTACGTTTGCTCCCAGCCCTGACTGCAGGCACTGGGGCCAGGCTGAGCCCCAGCCCTGGCTCCTCTAGGAGCCACCTCCAGCACAGAGCATAATGTAGGAGCTCATGAAAGCTACGAGGCCGGGCTGTGATGTTATTGGCAGGAGCTTCCTGCTGCTGAAATGTCATTTAGCTCTTTGGAGAATGGGGTGGGCAATGCAGCTTTGCCAGCCAGGAGCTGTGGGAAGGGCTGCTTGTTGGATCCAACTTGAAATTAATAAAGGAGAGCCAAGTCAGGGCAGAGAGGACCCAGGGGGTGGTTCGTTGCATCCCCAAACAACGGGCCCCACAGGACAGATGTGAGGCTGCGGCGTGCTGTGGGTACAGCTCCTGGTGTTGGCAGCAGCCGTGTCCCCACTGCAGTAGTGCATCACTGAGCCAAGCCAGCCCTGCTGCCCGTGGCTTGGAGTGTTTTGCCATTAGCTCTGCTTAAAAAGGGGGAGAACAAGCTGTTTGACAGCACTCCCAGCGCCGTTACCTTGTTCTTCTTTTATTATCCTGGAAGCCTACCCTGCTTTCCATCACCAGACCGGCTTGCAGGCTTAGGAAATGCTGCCAAAAACTGAAATCCAAACATGTTTTGCAGTGCTTTAGATAGAACCAGCCAGCGCTAGCCCAGTTCCCGAAGCTGTTAAAGTGGTATTTCCCACAAGGAAGGATGTGCATCAGGACAGAGACGGCTTTTTATTTGGTAAATCAGGTGAATGCTAATTAACACACCGGTGATTGTGTTATTTTTAAAGAAGGGAGTCGTGTCGGAGAGAAGATAAAAGTCAAAAAAAAAAAAAAAAAAAAAAAAAAAAAAAAAAAGATAAAAAGTCATGACATATTAATGATTCAGAACGTTGTGCTGGAGCTGGCAGAACAGAAAGTATGATGAATAATTCAAACGAGACAGGATTTTCCTCACAAGGTCGGAGAACGTAAAAGGGACGGCTTTGGAGAGCTCGGCACTGCCTGGGGACCTCCATCCATCGCGGGCTGGAGCCGAGGAGAGCGAGTTGGTGGCACCGGGCATCCCTGAGCTGCAGGGCTGAGCCCGGACCTTTGGTGCTGGATGGATTAAGGGCTGCTCTGGAGCCCGGGTCCTTGCAGGGCACGCAGGCAGCAATGCCTTAGGCGGCGGTGAGCGACTGGGCTTTCTCACAAAATGGCTTGAAAGAGGAGGGCTGCTCTGGAAGATGAACGTGAGTACGGTGCGCATCCGGTGCTTTCAGGCGGCTCGTTCCCTTTCTGTGCAGAAATGTGTTATGGGAGGCAGAGCATGGATGCCTGAGGGTGCAGGTAGAAAATCCCTGCCTGGTGAAGACCCTGCACGGTGCTCCGTGCTCCACCAGTCCTGGTCCTGATGCAGCTCAGACCTCAGCACAGCCCCAGTGCCTTCAGCAGCGTGCAGGGCTGGAGCCAGGCTCAGGAGCTGGGGCTTTTTGTAGCAGATGCGATTCGGCAGCCTGCAAGGTCTGTGGGTACATCCTGCAGTGACGTTGGGTGTATTTCAGGCAAAGCCACGGGAGCCTCTAGAGAGATCCTACTTCACCCTAAGACAATAGTTTTAACCTTATTTTGTTTCTTGATAAGTATGACTTATCAAGACTGTGTGTCTGGCAGTGGAGATTGTGCAAAGCAGTCCAGGATGGTTCTAAAGTGGTGGTCATTTTTGAGTGTAAATGAGAGCCTTTGGGCACCTGACTGCCTCACAGAGAGAGAGAGATCTCATTACAATAGGTTCTGCTTTTTGCCTGCAGTTCTCATGTGCAAGGAGGAGTGGATACTGTATTGCTGTGATATTGGGCTGCATGGCAGTGACCTGTGGCCCTGAAGCAGTGCTGGCCACGTTTGTGGCACTGCAGAGATAAGTGTGGCACACACTGTGTCTTGCAAAACTGTGCTGTGTCATGCATGCATGATACGTCAGTGGAAGCAGGGAGAGGGGTGGCAGAACAGAGGCTGCATGGTAAGGGCTAGGGCAATGAGTGTTGCCCGACAGAGGGGGATCCCACCCCAGCTTTGGAGTGCTGGGCAGGTGGAACCCCAACCTGCGTCTTCTCCTAGGGGGTGCAATGCATGCAACTACCTTGAGCTCTCTTTTAAAAGCCTTTGGGACAAAGAATCCTATTTTTAAGCACCACGTCCCTTTAGAGGCATGCCCAGTTTTAGCTGGCAGTGCGTAGGGAAGTACAGATTTGTTCTCACCAAAGCTGTTCCCCGTGCCACCCAGCTGACACCGCATGCCTTACTTATGTTCTCGTGACTTAAGGTTCCTTGCTGTTAACTGGGAGGGCTGTGCAATGTGTTGAGGCTTTGAGATGAGTTTCCCGAGGCGTGCAGCCCTCTTGCTGGGGGAGGATGGCTGCTCCCACTCTGCCTGCCTGGGGTGGGGGATTCTGGCTTTTCCCCAGGGTGAAAATCATCTGGGAATGCTGAAATGGAATGATGACAAATGGAGCAGCAGCAGTGTTTGGGGTGTATTTTGTGTAGCATCTTATACACTGAATGGGGGAGGAGCTCCGTTCTGGGGACAGAATGAGAGTGGAGTGAGAGTGGAGCAGCACAAACCCGCAAAGCATTTTCCCCTCTGCCCTCCTTTCCCTCAGCAGACGTGCTCTAAATCTCCTCCATCCCTCTTCCTCCCTTAATTAATAACAGCCCCAGAGAGGCTGAGCCACCGCCACCGCTAATTGGAGCACAGCACGAGCAGTGCCAGGCCAGTAAGAGGATTATTGGCTTTCTGTGCCACTGGTTCCAGTGTCAGTGGGAACCCCCTGGGTCAGCGGCAGGGCACAGCACAGCAGCCCATCCCCTCCTGCCTCCTTCGGTGCTTTCCTCATTTTATCTAGTCTGGGTGGGTCATGGAAGTCAGCTTCAGGTTTTCCTGCTGTGTAACATAGGATCGGGCTTTGTAGCACTGCAGGCAAAATGCAAATGTTGACACCAGGCTTTCTTGCAGCGTGTTCAAAAATACCCAGCCTGCCTACCTCACACCTTTGGAATAGCTGAAGTTTGTGCCTTGCAGGACTTCTGGAAAACAAATAGCAGGAGCTCTCGGGAGCTGAGCCCAATCTATTGCTTCTTCTGTCACAGAGCTCCTGTGCTGGGCATGCTGGTCTGGAAGGTGTTTAGGAGGCACAGCTGGTGTGTTCAGATGTTGTCTTGGAGCGCCTGCAGAAGCAGAATCACAGAACCATTAAGGTTGGAAAAGACCTTTGAGATCCCCAACCCAACACCACAGTGCTCAGTGCCACATCTTCACAGCTGTGAACACCTCCAGGGACACGGTGCCCCCAGCGCTCCCTGGGCAGCTGTGCCACTGCATAACCCCTCTGTTGGGAAAGAAATTCTTCCTAATATCCAACCTGAACCTCTCCTGCTGCGACGTGAGGCCGTTACCTCTTGTCTTGCATCAAACACAGCATGACCCTGTTGGCAGCAGCAGAGACTGGGACACAGAGCTCTCATCTAAGCAGCCCAGGTTCACCCCAGCATTCAGCTCCCCTCACCTACTGGGACAGCCCTGGGATTGCTCTGTGCCCAGCAGCAGCTCGCTGTTCCCCATCATGACCCAGCAGTGTCAGTCTGTCCTGCTGCACCGTGCTGAGGGCACAGCCACTGCTTTGTGCACACAGCTCTGCCTAAGTGGGTTATGGTTGGAGATTAGCTGGAAATACCTCTGCTTAAATAGTGCATGGATTAGAAATAGACCTTTTCATTACAGGAATAGGTCATGGCAATTTGCTTTCTATTTTCTTGCCATCCTCCCCCAGCACTGAGTTCAGCACGCGTTTGACCCACTGCTCAGCGCGTCGGAGCTGTCAGCTGCAGATCTTCCAAATTCTCAATTAATGAAGAAAACATTTTTCTGCATCCTCTTGGCCACAGGCAGGAGTCTGCCCAGCATGACCCCAACCCCTGAGCTTCCATCACGCACACCATGTCCCCGGAGTGAGGGAGTAGGATGGGCACATTCCCATTAAGGAAGCAGTGCAGTAATTGTTGACTTGCTTCGTCACTTTGATTCCCAGCAGATGGATATTAAATAATGCTCCTTGAGGAGAGACAAATAAATTTTCCCCGAGAGTTACGAGCCTACAGAGAAAAACATAAATTCATCAGATGCGTTTGGTAAAAACAATTAGAAATAATTTAACTCGACACCAATAGCATTAAATGAGATTATGGAGAGCTGAAAAACTGCACTCACTGTTTAATAACATAATTGCATTGGGTCCCCATGAGCTTCTCTTTCTCAGGGTGGCTGCAGTGTACCCCCACCAGCTGCTACCCCACGTCTCTGTGCAAGGACATTGGGGCTGCAATGGGCACTGTCACTCTGTGCTTTTTCACTAACCACAGCAAGGCCTGGGATGCAGCAGGCATTTCCAAGTAATACAACTCATTAAACGACAGCAATCAATTATAAGTGCCATTGCAGGAGCAGAGCTTGGCAGCTCCGGCCATGTTGGGCATGGCATGGGATTCTATGGGATGGCATGGCACAAGGTGACATGGCACAGCCCCTGGGGAAGCACCAGGCACTTTTGGTACTGGAAAAGCTCCATAACAGGCCTGTTTTCAGGAGCTAAGCTGTGCTCAGAGCACCCAGCCCAGCACTCGAAGGCAATCAGCTAAAATGAGCAGTGACTGATGTAACCAAGGCAAGACAAAGCACATACAGTTGCTTTCAGGCTAATATGTAGATTTATGCAGAAAACAAATATAAAGAGCCGCATCTGTTGCGAGCAAAGTATAATTCATCATCAGGGAAGAGGTTTTGTTTCCTCACAGCTACATGTGCTGTAGTTATGTATTTTATTTTCCTTGGGTTTGTGTGCAGTTGTGTTGGGTATTTTTTGGTTGGTTTTGAGGCTTGGTTGGTTGTGGGGTTTTTTTTGTGAAGTTTCATTTCTGGCTTGGAATACAGATTAGGAACTTTACAGCAAGGGCTGAACAGATTCTAACGTAGCAAATGGGCAGCCCTTGGCTCTGGGGCATGTCCCAAGGACCAGAGCAGGGCAAGCAGCCTCAGGAGGAGGCACACAGGGCTCAGCCCCCTGGGAGGCTTGGAGATGGCATCTGCCCTCTATTGAGTATCTGTCCTATAGGTTTGGGAGAGTAGTTTGGGGGCTTTGGGCACAGCCCTGCTGCTGCTCCACGGCACGTTCCTGCAAACGGCTGCGTTAAGCACATCATAAATCATTAGGGAAAAGCAAAGCAGCAGCCTGTACTCCTGTGAACCTGAACTGCATCTCAATGCTGAGTAGCTCGTAAAGACGCAGAGGCAAAGGAATAGCAAGAGATAATTGCCCTTGGTTGGGAGGTGGGAAGCAGCAGTGGTGGTTTTAGTGGTGCTTGGGCAGAGAGGTGCAGCTGGGGCCGTGTGTTAGAGGGCCATCTCCAGCCAGGAAGACTCCTCTGGAGAAATTGCTGAGTATTGGTTTGTACTCAGATGTCTACTTGAGCTTGGGCTGGAGGGATGTACCAGGGCACTGCCCTCTCTGTTCTCCTTGGTGCCTTCAGCTCCCAGAGATGGCTCCTGTGTACTCAATGCCTCCCTGCTATGGGAAGACATTGAGGTCCTGGAGTGTGTCTGGAGAAGGGCAATGGAGCTGTGAGGGTCTGGAGCACAGTGCTGTGGGGAGTGGGATGGGTCAGTCTGGGGACGAGGAGGCTCAGGGGACGCTCAGGTTGGATACTGAGAAACATTCCTTCTCCAAAAGGCAGTGGCACAGCTGCCCAGGGAGTGATGGGGTCACCGTCCCTGGGGGCGTACAGAACCATGGAGATGTGGCACTTGGGGACATGGCTGATGGGTGGGGTGGGTGATCCAGGAGGTCTTTGCCAACCTTAATGCTTGTATGGTTCTGTGATTCTGTGCCCTGCACAGCACCCACAAGGCAGTGGAGGCAGCAGTTTCAGTTCACTGACATGTAATTACAGGGCTGGTTCCTCCCATCCTGCTGCCCTCTGCTCCCTGTGCACACAGAAGTGGAGCAGGAGGGTTTTCATTACAGAACTGCTCTTTGGCTCTGTGTGACCTCCTGTGTGCATGCTGGAATTCCTTGGTTAATAGGTTTAGAGTGACTGCAAAAACATGAAGATGTGGTGCTGTTGTGCTGGCGTTGTGCATGTGAACTATTTCAGCTATTTCCTCGCTCACATTCCTTACCAAATGTGCCTGTGAAACCAGTTT